TTTCTTTCCACAATTTCCAAAAACATGTGTAAAAAAATGACATGTTCAAAAGACTCATTATACCTCATATGATATATGATATACCTTGGAGTGTTTTCTTTCCAAAATGTGGGTCATTTTGTTTGTGTTTACATTGTCCTGGTGCCTGGGGCCTTCAAAACTGTGATAGGTAGTCAGGAAATTAGATGTGTAATTTATGCCCCTTCTATGCTCCTAGAACGCGTGAAGGTTCTGCTTGGATGTTGGGTCTCTGTATGTGGACAGGCTGTGGAAAAGTCTCACACATGTTGTATCGCCATACTCAGAAGGAGTAGCAGAATGCATTTTGGGGCATAATTCTTGGTATGTCCATGCTGTGTGTTAGAAATGTCTTATAAATTGACAACTTTGTGTGGAGAAAAAAAGTTTTCATTTTTCTTTCCACATTTTCTAAAAACTTTTGGAAAAAATAACATGTTCAGAAGACTCATTATGCCTGATAAAATATACCTTGGGATGTTTGCTTTCCAAAATGGGGTCATTTTGTGGGTGCTCCAGGGCCTTCAAAACTGTGATAGGTAGTCAGGAAATTAGATTTGTAATTTTTGCCCCTTTTATGCTCCTAGAACGTGTGAAGATGCTACTTGAACGTTGGGTCTCTGTATGTGGCCAGGTTGTGGAAATATCTCGTACATGTGGTATCACAATACTCAGGAGTAGCAGAATGTGCTTTGGGGTGCAATTGCAAGTATGTCTATGCCAGGTGTGAGAAATAACTTATTTTGACAATTATGTGTGAAAAAAAAAAAATAATAACAATTTCTTCATTTTCTAAGGAATTGTGGGAAATAAATTACAACTTCAAAAAACTCACCATGTTGGACTGTATATTTTCCAAAAAGGGGTCTTTTGGGGGATATTTCCTAGCATGTTGGGGCCTCAAGAAATGAAATAGGCCCTCAGTGCTTCAGGTGTGATCAGGTATGATCAATTTTCAATGATTGGTGCCATAGCTTGTAGACTTTATAACTTTCACACAGACTAAACAATATACACTGATTTGGGTTATTTTAACCAAAGAAATGTAGCAGTATAAATATTTGCCTAAATGTATGAAGAAAAATTACTTATTTGCAAACATTTTAAAATAGAAACAAAGAAAACCTTTTTTTTTTTTTTTAAATTCAGTTTTCTTTCGTTTACAGCGCAAAAAATAGTGGTGATTAATTACCACCAAAGGAAATCTCTATTTGTGTGAAAAAAATTAGCACTGAAAGCTGAAAATTGGCCTGGGGAGGAAGGGGGCTAATGTGCCCTGTATGGAAGTGGTTGAACAGTTTACTACAATGATAGGATGACGGAAAGCAGAACCCCAGCCAAATATACAAAAACAACAGTTAAGTATCAATATAAAATTTCTTCAAGGGAGCAGAGAGGTGCCTGCCTGCACCAAGACAGAGACAGGCCTGAGCCTGAAGGACATAGCAGCAGGAAGCTGCAGGGGAAGAGACAAGCTGGCAGAGGTACAGCATTTGTGTACCTCTGCCAATGAGTCCAATGAGTATTGGACATTGTGTTAGGCGGTCAGGAGGACCAAGGTACTAAGCTTGGGCAGCAGAACTGCCAAAGAGAGCCAGGAGGCTGAATACTGTTTTATTCATTTTGATGATGGAAACCAATGCATGAGCAACCAATATCTTTTGTTTAACTTTTCTTTGTTGTTTTAAATAAAAGTGGGCAGAAAAAGCCCTGAAAAGATACTTCGGGTATGGTGTAAACTCCGTGTGAAGCACTACTATAGAGCTAAGGAACCCCCAAGTTGTCACATTGATACTGTAACTCCCTCCTCACCAGCTTACCCCACCGCAGGCTATCCCCGCTTCAGTCTATCTTGAATGCAGCAGCCAGACTCATCCACCTTACTAACCGCTCCGTATCCGCCACCCCTCTCTGCCAATCCCTCCACTGGCTTCCGATTGCCCAACGGATAAAATTCAAAATGCTAACATTAACTTACAAAGCTGTTCTTAATACTGCCCCAAACTACATCACCGATCTGGTATCCAAATGCCGCCCAAAACGTACTCTCCGCTCCTCACAAGACCTCCTACTCTCTAGTTCCCTGGTCTCCTCCTCCCATGCCTGTCTCCAGGACTGCTTCAGGGCTTCCCCCTTTCTCTGGAACTCCCTACCCCAATCCATCAGACTGTCACCTACTCTCCTCACCTTTAGGCGCACTCTGAAAACCTATCTCTTCAGGGAAGCCTACCCCGCCCTCAGCTAATTACTAAACTCCTCCATTCTTCCTACCACTCCATCCCCCACAGCTATTTCCTCCTGTACCACTATCCCCTCCCTCCTAGATTGTAAGCTCTAAGGAGCAGGGCCCTCGAACCCCTCATGTATTGAATCGTATTGTTACTGTACTGTCTCGTGTACTGTCTCCCTCTATAATGTACAGCGCTGAGCAAACTGTTGGTGCTGTATAAATACTCTATAATAATAATAATAATTGATCTATATCATAATATTATCTGTTTGCAAATCCACAGCATAAATCAGACTTGGAGGTTATGCACTTTGAGTCAGTCAGCCTACATTCAGTGCACAATGCTGGCAGTCTAACATATTTAGTTGTGGGAAGCAGGGGGTTAGCATGCAGAAGCTTATAATTAAGACACAGAAATATGCAAAACTGTGTAGGCAGGTGCTTGGCTGAGAATGTGAGAGAAACACTGGCTGTAGCTGCTTTCTAGCTGCTGCCCTGAACTGTTTAATAGCTATATCAACAAAAGGAGGGAGCTGCTGAGCAAGAAGAGTTTAATAGACATTGAGTCTGCACTGTGGGAACTGTAGAAGAGAGAGACTGTAATTTATAATCAAGGGCTTTTACTGTTATTATTCACATTGCAGTTAATGCTTATATGCACTGTTTATTGCTGACTTGAGTTCATCCTAGTCTAGTTATACAAAACTCTATTCTAGGTTACCTTGGCATAGTGATTATACTGTCTAGTGGAATGTGTCTGAATCTACCTTCCTTGTGTTAATTTATGCTCAAACCACCATTTTCTCTAACCCCTACCAATACATTGAGTGTCTATTTCCTGGTGCTAATTCACAGCTCAGTTAAAGGTATCTGTACTTGTGTTCTTATAAGTGCTTGCAGTAACTGCCAGAGAGGCTGAGGTTGTTCTCAGAGTTGAGGCAGAGAACCCAAATTACGAATCGGCTCTGTCACGTACCTGATGGGAGACTGAGTTGATGAGGTCAGCCACACTTGTGTCCCTAGCCCTGACCCCACTGAGGTTGGAACAGGGGGAGTCTAGGGACCAGGGGGACAAGAGCGCCAGGAGTTGTTGCTTATGGCTCTTGCAGATGATGGCCTTGGTAGACTGAGTATCCACTGATTTAGGGCACAGTAGCAATAGAGCAGGCAGGTTCTGTGGATTGCCAGATGTGCAGCAGACCAATGTAGGTAGCCAGGAACAGGACTGGAGCAGGGTCAGACAAGCCAGGGTGATAAACAGTCAGGCAGCGCAGTACCGAATCAGAAGAGAAAGCCAAGATCAGGAGCAGAGCCGAAGTCAGGAACCAGGAGCAGGAGAGCAATTGGAGTCGGGTCAGGAACAAGCCGGGTCAGCAACAAAGGGAACATCAGGAACTAGCAGGACATGGGGGGGAGCTGAAAGACCAGTCAGCACTGAATCAGCACCGAGGTGCTCTTTAAATAGCCCGCCCAGCCTCGACAGGCGTGCCTGCGCCATCATCGGTGACAGGTGCGTCTGGCTCCTAGTGCCCGCCTGCCTGTATGCCTTGTCAGAATCCTGCGCATGCGCAGATTCATGCTCTGCGGCAATCTTCTCGTTCCCTGATAGGCTCCTATGGGGTAGTGCTACAGGTGTATTAGTAAATAATGATGCCACCATTCTGGTGATGCAGTGTGGAATGGGTAAGTGAAACAAAAGGAGGATTAAAGCAAATTAGTGTAAAAAGTTCATATATGCTGTGTGTACTGGATATCAAATGTGTATTTAAAAGACCTATGAATTGTATAGGTGAAATTCCATTTTACTATTCTTCCATCAAAAAAAATAAATTTTTACCTTATATTTGGCACATTCAATCTCTTCCTTAAGTTTTTTAATTGTTCGATTGAGCTCAATGATCTCATTTTTAATGTTCTGAAGATCATTTCTGGTTCTGGCAGATGCCATGTGCAACTCCTCAAACTACAGAAAAAAAATTCACCATGTTATGTTCTTTCCACTGGCATTTGTGCTACATAAGGAGCTTATTGTGCATATAGCAGTCACTATATTAGACATACCCTTGACTGGTACATGACCTCTTTCTCAGCTTTGCTTTTGTTGGCAAAGCCTTCATGTTGAGCTGTGACCACAGCATTTACGCTGTCCAGGTCTATTCTGTTGTCCATGGACGCAGTGACCGAACTTTCTGAGATCTGAGCCTGGAGCTCCTTCATCTCCTGCAAAACAGATAGTATCCAAATATTGATACTAGGGAAAAATCATTAACAGTTAAGAATCCTTTATCAATAAGCTAATAGAGTTTTACCGCTTCATACAGACTCTTCAGGAATCTAATTTCATCGAGCAGGGAATAAATCTTTGCTTCATCATCAACTTTGTTCATAGATGCAGCATCAACATCCTACAATTAACATCAGTTAGATGGGTTTTGACAAAAAAACTGATATATTCAAAAGAGAACATGCACAAAGCTGAAATAATTACAATGTAATGTAATAACATAGAAAAATGCTATTTGCCATCTCTAGTCAAAAGATGTATTAATGAAAAATAATAGTTTGTATTGCAGGTAGCGACAGTGGTTTACAATCCAAGATGGAACTATGTTAGTAACTAGAGATGAGCGAATTATTCAAAAATTCGATTCGACTGATTCGGCAAATTCGTGAAAAAAATTTGATTCGAGTCGAATATATATTCGCTGCGAATTTAACTTATAAAAGGGTGTTTCTAGGCTTCAGAGAGCCTTTATATTAGTGCAGAACACTGTACCTTTAATTTAAATGCCCTTGGAGTCTGCTGGGGAAGAGAAATAATACTGTCAGTCAGTATGACATGCAGATGAGTGCCGTCGATCTTAGAATCACCGCACACTTCACTCATTTGGGCAGTCACGGGGCCAAAACCAGAGTGTGGAGCCACAGTGTGGCGGTGGAGGCAGCAGCAATGGGAGGCCATACAGCACCCTATGACAAAATGGAACCCACCAGCAGTGTGTCACCCTATGACAAAATGGAACCCAGCAGCAGTGTGAGGAGACCTGAAAGTGGCACATGGCAGAGTGTGGCGATGGAGACAGCAGCAATGGGAGGCCGTACAGGGACCCATGACACACTGTGGACCTGGCAGCAGCATGAGGAGGCGGTACAGGGGCCCATGACAGATTACGGGCCTGGCAGCAGCATGAGGAGTCGGTACGGGGCCCATGGCAGATTACGGGCCTGGCAGCAGCAATGGGAGGCCGTACAGGGACCCATGACACACTCTGGACCTGGCAGCAGCATGAGGAGGTGGTACAGGGGGCCCATGACAGATTACGAGCCTGGCAGCAGCATGAGGAGTCGGTACGGGGGCCCATGACACACTCTGGACCTGGCAGCAGCATGAGGAGGCAGTACAGGGGCGCATGACATATTACGGGCCTGGCAGCAGCAACTTGGACAGGAGGACGTTCAGCTTCTGCACCGTCGGGTGCGTGCTCGCAAACTGTTGTCTCTTGGAAACGGATTCCAAGAAAGACTGCTGACGGAATCCGTGAAGAGGAGTAGCAGGAGAAGGAGCATCTGAACGAGCGGAATATGCCAACAAGCGACAACAGGGGCCCATGACAGATTACGGGCCTGGCAGCAGCATGAGGAGTTGGTACGGGGGCCCATGGCAGATTACGGGCCTGGCAGCAGCAATGGGAGGCCATACAGCACCCTATGACAAAATGGAAACCCACCAGCAGTGTGAGGAGACCTGAAAGTGGCACATGGCAGAGTGTGGCGATGGAGACAGCAGCAATGGGAGGCGGTACAGGGACCCATGAGACACTGTGGACCTGGCAGCAGCATGAGGAGGCGGTACAGGGGCCCATGGCAGATTAGGGGCCTGGCAGCAGCAATGGGAGGCCCGTAATCTGCCAGCACTCTATGACAAAATGGAACCCAACGGCAGTGTGAGGAGACCTGAAAGTGGCACATGGCAGAGTGTGGCGATGGAGACAGCAGCAATGGGAGGCGGTACAGGGACCCATGAGACACTGTGGACCTGGCAGCAGCATGAGGAGGCGGTACAGGGGCCCATGACAGATTACGGGCCTGGCAGCAGCATGAGGAGGCCGGTAATCGGGGGCCCATGGCAGATTACCTATGGCCTGGCAGCAGCAGTGGGGAGGCCGTACAGGGACCCATGGCACACACTGTGGACCTGGCAGCAGCATGAGGAGGCGGTACAGGGGCCCATGGCAGATTACGGGCCTGGCAGCAGCATGAGGAGGCGGTACGGGGCCCATGGCAGATTAAGGGCCTGGCAGCAGCAATGGGAGGCCCGTACAGGGACCCATGACACACTCTGGACCTGGCACAGCAGCATGAGGAGGCGGTACAGGTAAAGGGGCCCATGACAGATTACGGGCCTGGCAGCAGCATGAGGAGTCGGTACGGGGGCCCATGACACACACTGGACCTGGAAGCAGCATGAGGAGGCGGTACAGGGCGCATGACAGATTACGGGCCTGGCAGCAGCAGAGGAGGCGGTACGGGGCCCATGGCAGATTACGGGCCTGGCAGCAGCAATGGGAGGCCATACTGCCAGCACCCTATGACAAAATGGAACCCACCAGCAGTGTGAGGAGACCTGAAAGTGGCACATGGCAGAGTGTGGCGATGGAGACAGCAGCAATGGGAGGCCGGTACAGGGACCCATGAGACACTGTGGACCTGGCAGCAGCATGAGGAGGCGGTACAGGGGCCCATGGCAGATTAGGGGCCTGGCAGCAGCAGGAGGAGTCGGTACGGGGGCCCATGGCAGATTACGGGGCCTGGCAGCAGCAATGGGAGGCCCCGTAATCTGCCAGCACCCTATGACAAAATGGAACCCAGCAGCAGTGTGAGGAGACCTGAAAGTGGCACATGGCAGAGTGTGGCGATGGAGACAGCAGCAATGGGAGGCCGTACAGGGACCCATGAGACACTGTGGACCTGGCAGCAGCATGAGGAGGCGGTACAGGGGCCCATGGCAGATTACAGGCCTGGCAGCAGCAATGGGAGGCCCGTAATCTGCCAGCACTCTATGACAAAAAATGGAACCCAGCAGCAGTGTGAGGAGACCTGAAAGTGGCACATGGCAGAGTGTGGCGATGGAGACAGCAGCAATGGGAGGCGTACAGGGACCCATGAGACACTGTGGACCTGGCAGCAGCATGAGGAGGCGGTACAGGGGCCCATGGCAGATTACGGGCCTGGCAGCAGCAATGGGAGACGCCCGTAATCTGCCAGCACCCTATGACAAAAAAATGGAACCCAGCAGCAGTGTGTGAGGAGACCTGAAAGTGGCACATGGCAGAGTGTTACGATGGAGACAGCAGCAATGGGAGGCCGTACAGGGACCCATGAGACACACTGTGGACCTGGCAGCAGCATGAGGAGGCGGTACACAGGGGCCCATGGCAGATTAGGGGCCTGGCAGCAGCAATGGGAGGCCCGTAATCTGCCAGCACACCTATGACAAAAATGGAACCCAGCAGCAGTGTGAGGAGACCTGAAAGTGGCACATGGCAGAGTGTGGCGATGGAGACAGCAGCAATGGGAGGCCGGTACAGGGACCCATGAGACACTGTGGACCTGGCAGCAGCATGAGGAGGCGGTACAGGGGCCCATGGCAGATTAGGGGCCTGGCAGCAGCAATGGGAGGCCCGTAATCTGCCAGCACTCTATGACAAAAAATGGAACACACCAGCAGTGTGGAGACCTGAAAGTGGCACATGGCAGAGTGGGCGATGGACAGCAGCAATGGGAGGCCGTACAGGGCCCATGACACACTGTGGACCTGGCAGCAGCATGAGGAGGCGGTACAGGGGCCCATGGCAGATTAGGGGCCTGGCAGCAGCAGCATGGCAGATGGGAGCAGCAATGGGCAGGCCCCGTAATCTGCCAGCACCCTATGACAAAATGGAACCCAGCAGCAGTGTGAGGAGACCTGAAAGTGGCACATGGCAGAGTGTGGCGATGGAGACAGCAGCAATGGGAGGCCGTACAGGGACCCATGAGACACTGTGGACCTGGCAGCAGCATGAGGAGGCGGTACAGGGGCCCATGGCAGATTAGGGGCCTGGCAGCAGCAATGGGAGGCCCGTAATCTGCCAGCACCCTATGACAAAATGGAACCCAGCAGCAGTGTGAGGAGACCTGAAAGTGGCACATGGCAGAGTGTGGCGATGGAGACAGCAGCAATGGGAGGCCGTACAGGGACCCATGAGACACTGTGGACCTGGCAGCAGCATGAGGAGGCGGTACAGGGGCCCATGGCAGATTAGGGGCCTGGCAGCAGCAATGGGAGGCCCGTAATCTGCCAGCACTCTATGACAAAATGGAACCCACAAGCAGTGTGAGACCTGAAAGTGGCACAGACAGAGTGTGGCGAAAGTGCACATGGCATGGACACACGTGGACCTGGCAGCAGCATGAGGAGGCGGTACAGGGGCCCATGGCAGATTAGGGGCCTGGCAGCAGCAATGGGAGACCGTAAGGGGCCCGTAATCTGCCAGCACCCTATGACAAAATGGAACCCAGCAGCAGTGTGTGAGGAGACCTGAAAGTGGCACATGGCAGAGTGTGGCGATGGAGACAGCAGCAATGGGAGGCCGTACAGGGACCCATGAGACACTGTGGACCTGGCAGCAGCAGCAGAGGAGGCGGTACAGGGGCCCATGGCAGATTAGGCCTGGCAGCAGCAATGGGAGGCCCGTAATCTGCCAGCACCCTATGACAAAATGGAACCCAGCAGCAGTGTGAGGAGACCTGAAAGTGGCACATGGCAGAGTGTGGCGATGGATGAGACAGCAGCAATGGGAGGCCGTACAGGGACCCATGAGACACTGTGGACCTGGCAGCAGCATGAGGAGGCGGTACAGGGGCCCATGGCAGATTACGGGGCCTGGCAGCAGCAATGGGAGAGCCCCGTAATCTGCCAGCACTCTATGACAAAAAATGGAACCCAGCAGCAGTGTGAGGAGACCTGAAAGTGGCACATGGCAGAGTGTGTGCGATGGAGACAGCAGCAATGGGAGGCCGTACAGGGACCCATGAGACACTGTGGACCTGGCAGCAGCATGAGGAGGCGGTACGGTACAGGGGCCCATGGCAGATTACAGGCCTGGCAGCAGCAATGGGAGACGCCCGTAATCTGCCAGCACCCTATGACAAAATGGAACCCAGCAGCAGTGTGAGGAGACCTGAAAGTGGCACATGGCAGAGTGTGGCGATGGAGACAGCAGCAATGGGAGGCCGTACAGGGACCCATGAGACACTGTGGACCTGGCAGCAGCATGAGGAGGCGAGTACGGGGGGGCCCATGGCAGATTACAGGCCTGGCAGCAGCAGCAATGGAGAGCCCGTAATCTGCCAGCACCCTATGACAAAATGAACCCAGCAGCAGTGTGAGGAGACCTGAAAGTGGCACATGGCAGAGTGTGGCGATGGAGACAGCAGCAATGGGAGGAGGCGTACAGGGACCCATGAGACACTGTGGACCTGGCAGCAGCATGAGGAGGCGGTACAGGGGCCCATGGCAGATTAGGGGCCTGGCAGCAGCAATGGGAGGCCCGTAATCTGCCAGCACCCTATGACAAAATGGAACCCAGCAGCAGTGTGAGGAGACCTGAAAGTGGCACATGGCAGAGTGTGGCGATGGAGACAGCAGCAATGGGAGGCCGTACAGGGACCATGAGACACTGTGGACCTGGCAGCAGCATGAGGAGGCGGTACAGGGGCCCATGGCAGATTAGGGGCTGGCAGCAGCAATGGGGGAGGCCCGTAATCTGCCAGCACCTATGACAAAATGGAACACACCAGCAGTGTGAGGACCTGAAAGTGGCACATGGCAAGTGTGGCGATGGAGACAGCAGAATGGGAGGCGGTACAGGGACCCATGAGACACTGTGGACCTGGCAGCAGCATGAGGAGGCGGTACAGGGGCCCATGGCAGATTAGGGGCCTGGCAGCAGCAATGGGAGGAGGCCCGTAATCTGCCAGCACCCTATGACAAAATGGAACCCAGCAGCAGTGTGAGGAGACCTGAAAGTGGCACATGGCAGAGTGTGGCGATGGAGACAGCAGCAATGGGAGGCGTACAGGGACCCATGGCATGAGACACTGTGGACCTGGCAGCAGCATGAGGAGGCGGTACAGGGGCCCATGGCAGATTAGGGGCCTGGCAGCAGCAATGGGAGACCCGTAATCTGCCAGCACCCTATGACAAAATGGACAAAGTGGAGACCTGAAGTGGCACATGCAGAGTGTGTGGCGAGGAGACAGCAGCAATGGGAGGCCGTACAGGGACCCATGAGACACTGTGGACCTGGCAGCAGCATGAGGAGGCGGTACAGGGGCCCATGGCAGATTAGGGGCCTGGCAGCAGCAATGGGAGGCCCCGTAATCTGCCAGCACCTATGACAAAATGGAACCCAGCAGCAGTGTGAGGAGACCTGAAAGTGGCACATGGCAGAGTGTGGCGATGGAGACAGCAGCAATGGAGGCCGTACAGGGACCCATGAGACACTGTGGACCTGGCAGCAGCATGAGGAGGAGGCGGTACAGGGGCCCATGGCAGATTAGGGGCCTGGCAGCAGCAATGGGAGGCCCGTAATCTGCCAGCACCCTATGACAAAATGGAACCCAGCAGCAGTGTGTGAGGAGACCTGAAAGTGGCACATGGCAGAGTGTGGCGATGGAGACAGCAGCAATGGGAGGCCGTACAGGGACCCATGAGACACACTGTGGACCTGGCAGCAGCATGAGGAGGCGGTACAGGGGCCCATGGCAGATTACAGGGCTGGCAGCAGCAATGGGAGGCCCCGTAATCTGCCAGCACTCTATGACAAAATGGAACCCAGCAGCAGTGTGTGAGGAGACCTGAAAGTGGCACATGGCAGAGTGTGGCGATGGAGACAGCAGCAATGGGAGGCCGTACAGGGGACCCATGAGACACTCTGGACCTGGCAGCAGCATGAGGAGGCGGTACAGGGCCCATGGCAGATTAGGGGCCTGGCAGCAGCAATGGGAGGCCCGTAATCTGCCAGCACCTATGACAAAATGGAACCCAGCAGCAGTGTGAGGAGACCTGAAAGTGGCACATGGCAGAGTGTGGCGATGGAGACAGCAGCAATGGGAGGCCGTACAGGGACCCATGAGACACTCTGGACCTGGCAGCAGCATGAGGAGGCGGTACAGGGGCCCATGGCAGATTAGGGGCCTGGCAGCAGCAATGGGAGGCCCGTAATCTGCCAGCACCCTATGACAAAATGGAACACCAGCAGTGTGAGGAGACCTGAAAGTGGCACATGGCAGAGTGTGGCGATGGAGACAGCAGCAATGGGAGGCCGTACAGGGACCCATGAGACACTCTGGACCTGGCAGCAGCATGAGGAGGCGGTACAGGGGCCCATGGCAGATTACAGGCCTGGCAGCAGCAATGGGAGGCCCGTAATCTGCCAGCACCCTATGACAAAATGGAACCACCAGCAGTGTGAGGAGACCTGAAAGTGGCACATGGCAGAGTGTGGCGATGGAGACAGCAGCAATGGGAGGCCGTACAGGGACCCATGAGACACTCTGGACCTGGCAGCAGCATGAGGAGGCGGTACAGGGGCCCATGGCAGATTACAGGCCTGGCAGCAGCAATGGGAGGCCCGTAATCTGCCAGCACCCTATGACAAAATGGAACCCACCAGCAGTGTGAGGAGACCTGAAAGTGGCACATGGCAGGGGCATGATTCATGGCGGATTTAGTCAGTTGTGTCAGGAACTGGTGGTTTGAAATCCAGACTAATCCACGCCTGATTCATTTTCACACAAACGTGAGTCTCTCCACACTTTGGGTGGACAGTCGTGTCCTCCGCGGAGTTACAATACCTCCTGCCGCACTAAACACGCGCTCCGATGCCACGCTACTGGCCGGGCATGACAGCCTTTCAAGGGCAAATTCAGCTAGTTGGGGCCAAAGGTCAAGTTTCGTTGCCCAGTAGTCAAGGGGATTGTCTACCTCGGTTGGCAGGGTGCTGTCCAAGTAGGCCCAAGCCTGTTGTTTGAGGTCCTGCTCCAGGTCCACCTGATGCTGCTGCTGCTGCTGCGGCTGGTTAGTAGTTTCCTCACTGCGCTGGTGAAGAAAGCTACTCATCATCGACTGCAGACTGAGGCAGCCGCTGCTGGTGGAGCTGCCACTGCTCCTACCCACCCCACCCCTCCCCTGCTGCCATGGCAGCGGAACGCGAGCGCACAGGGCCCACAGTGTCTGAGGATGGACGTTGGCGCAGAAAGGCAGAGACCAACTGACTACATAGGTGGTTTTTATAGTACGTTATTTTGGCCTCCCTCTCAGCAGGTGTGAAAAAGGCCACCATTTTGGAACGGTAGCGAGGGTCCAACAAGGTGGACAGCCAAAAGTCATCCCTCTGTCTGATGGTTATTATTCGGCTGTCGCTACGCAAGCAACCGAGCATGCTATGGGCCATTTGTGCCAAGGAATGCGAGGGACTCCCTGCCTCCATCTCCACAGCATACTGCCACGGTGCGTCTGGGTCCTCTGTCTCCTCCTCCTCCTCCTCTACCAGATGCTCCTGCTCCTCCACTCCTGTCCGCTGAGTGGAAAAACCACCCATTTCACTCAATAATTCCTGAGCACCAATGTCCTCCTCTACCTCCTCCTCTTCTTCCTGTCCTGCCCCCACAGGGGTCATGTGGCGTTGAGATCTGTGCGCCACGTCTACCGCACCCTGACCAGCCATTGTTAACAGCATTTGTTCCAGGACGTGCAACAGAGGAATGACGTCGTTCATCCCATAGTCCTGCCGACTCACGAATAGCGTGGCCTCCTCAAAGGGCCTGAGCAAGCGGCAGGTGTCACGCATGAGCTGCCAATGGCTGACATCGAAGTTACACAGGGGAGTACCTTTTTCCGCTTGTAACATCAGGAAATCGGTGATGGCCTTTCGCTGTTCGTAAAGGCGGTCTAACATGTGTAGGGTTGAATTCCACCTTGTTGCAACGTCGCAGATCAGGCGATGCTGTGGAATTCCGTTCTGCCGCTGCAGCTCAAGGAGGGTGTGCTTTGCGGTGTAGGAATGGCTGAAATGCATGCAAAGTTTACGTGACATTTTAAGGATGTCTTGCAGTGGGATGGTGGATTTTAGGAACCGCTTGACAACCAGATTGAACACGTGAGCCATGCATGGCGCATGGCACAACCTTCCTTGACGCAGAGCAGACACCATGTTCTTTCCGTTGTCGGTCAACATGGTTCCGATTTTCAGTTTGCGCGGAGACAGCCATCTGTCGATTTCTCTGTTCATTACACTCAGAAGTTCCTCCCCTGTGTGACTACGTTCGCCAAGGCATACCAGGTGCAGCACAGCGTGACACCGTTGCGCCCTGCACACATGTGATATGCCGGTCGGGTAATGGGACTTGGCACGGGGGTGGCGGCTGAGGACACGGCGGAAGAAGAGGTGGTAGAGGCGGACATCTTTGCTGGACCAAGGACGTGCAAACGTGGAGGCAAAAGCGTCGTGACCTGTCCAAGTTGCTGGTGCGGCTGTGCCGGCACCACGTTCACCCAGTGGGCCGTAAATGACATGTACTGTCCCTGACCGTAGTTACAGCTCCACACGTCGGCGCTGCCGTGCACTTTGGCAGAGACCGACATGCTCAAAGACTGGCCCACCATCTCTTCTACATGTGAATGCAGGGCTGGCACTGCCTTTTTGGCGAAGAAATGCCGGCTTGGCACTCTCCACCGCGGCGCGGCACAAGCCATCATTTCTCGGAAAGGTGCTGAGTCCACCACTTGGAAAGGGAGGGACTGCAGCACCAGCAACTTGGACAGGAGGACGTTCAGCTTTTGCACCGTCGGGTGCGTGCTCGCAAACTGTTGTCTCTTGGAAACGGATTCCAAGAAAGACTGCTGACGGAATCCGTGAAGAGGAGTAGCAGGAGAAGGAGCATCTGAACGAGCGGAAGATGCCAACGAGCGACAACTCCCCCCTCAGCAGAGGTGTTGGAGCCTTGACTGGCTGATAGAGGGGCGATTGACGTCGGGTGACGGAGCAAGTAACGGAGCGGGTGATGGAGCGGGGGCTGGGGCAGGCAGAACCGCCGTATCTTTATCACGGTTTTCCCAGGCCACCAAATGGCGACGCTGCATATGCTGACGCAACGCTGTAGTCCCAACATGGGCCCCCTGGCCACGCTTGACTTTCTGGCCACATAGTCGACATACGGCTACGTTTACTTCCTCGGGCGGCTTGAGGAAAAAATTGCCACACCGCCGAGTAGGAAACTTTGCCCCCGCTACTCCTCACTGGCTGACTGCTACTTCCTCCGTGCACACCGGCACCACTACTGGCCGTGGGTGGTAGGCTGCAGTGGAGCTGGTGCTCTACTCCGTGGCCGTTTGCCTCCACTGACACTGCTGCGACCCTGCTGCCTCCTGGGCAACCCACCGACTGTTTTGCTCGCTGCCAAGCTGGCACCCTCTTCTCCTGATGATGCGGAAGAAATTGCCTGATGACGACGAGGCTGCCAAGTGCGATCAGCCTCCTCATCATCAATTAGGGTCTCCGCCTCACTACTAGCCCCCTCGGCTGCGTGTGGGTCAGGAGACAGACCTGTCTCTAGACCGGCTACCGAGCCACTCTCCTCGCCAGTACTTCTTCGCCTGGCTGCTGAAGAGGCGGATGTCTCCCCCCGTTCCTGACCGCCCTCTGTTAGCTCTTCCTCACTGTACAGTGGGGCTGAGCCCACAGCATGCGATACTTCGCTTGGTGAGGGAACAGCAAAGGACAGGGGCAGGTAGAGGACACGTGATTTCAGTGGGCTTGCTCCCGGGCCATGCCAACTAACGGTTGTGTCTGACGTACACACCGACCGTTGGCTGTAGGTGTCAGAGGTGACCTGGGAAGAGGAAGACGACCAAGCCAACCAATCGATGACGGCAGGGTTGTCGGTGGAGACACGACCGCTGGATGACACCGGGAGCACTGGCCTCTGGCTGCGACTAGTGCTGCCTCGACCCCTTCCTCTGCTGCCACGTCTGCTCGCTCCTAAAACATTGCCTCCTCTGCCACTCCTCTGCGTGTTGTCTGACATACTCTTTAATTCAACGATTCTGTGTCCCTGAGTAACAATTCTGTGTCCCTCAGTAACAATTCTGTGTCCCTCAGTAACAATTCTGTGTCCCTGAGTAACAATTCTGTGTCCCTGTCCCTGAGTAACAATTCTGTGTCCCTGAGTAACAATTCTGTGTCTTTCCCTGAGTAACAATTCTGTGTCTGTCCCTGAGTAACAATTCTGTGTCCCTCAGTAACAATTCTGTGTCCCTCAGTAACAATTCTGTGTCCCTCAGTAACAATTCTGTGTCTGTCCCTGAGTAACAATTCTGTGTCCCTGAGTAACAATTCTGTGTCCCTGAGTAACAATTCTGTGTCTGTCCCTGAGTAACAATTCTGTGTCCCTCAGTAACCATTCTGTGTCCCTGAGTAACAATTCTGTGTCCCTGAGTAACAATTCTGTGTCCCTCAGTAACAATTCTGTGTCCCTGAGTAACAATTCTGTGTCCCTCAGTAACAATTCTGTGTCCCTGAGTAACAATTCTGTGTCCCTGTCCCTCAGTAACAATTCTGTGTCCCTCAGTAACAATTCTGTGTCCCTCAGTAACAATTCTGTGTCTGTCCCTGAGTAACAATTCTGTGTCCCTGGGTACAGAGTAACATTCTTGTTACTGAGTAACAATTCTGTGTTACCCCTGAGTAACAATTCTGTGTCTGTCCCTGAGTAACAGATTCTGTGTCTGAGTCACCTTACTCAGTAGACACATAATTGTGTTACTGTGTCCCTCAGTAACAATTCTGTGTCCCTCAGTAACAATTCTGTGTCTGTAACTGAGTAACAATTCTGTGTCCCTCAGTAACAATTCTGTGTCTGTCCCTGAGTAACAATTCTGTGTCTGTCCCTGAGTAACAATTCTGTGTCTGTCCCTGAGTAACAATTCTGTGTCCCTCAGTAACAATTCTGTGTCTGTCCCTGAGTAACAATTCTGTGTCCCTGTAACAATTCTGTGTCCTGAGTAACAATTCTGTGTCCCTCAGTAACAATTCTGTGTCTGTCCCTGAGTAACAATTCTGTGTCTGTTCCCT